CAGCAGGAAGTCACTGCCCTTTGCCGAACAGTGTCTTCACCTACCAGAAGGCTGCACACTGACCGTGCACCACCAGGACGCCCCCACACAGGGAATACCCGCTAGCTGGGGGAGCCCAGGCCCACCTGCAGGCCCTGCCCCAGGAGGTCGGGGACCATTTCCCAAATAGCTTCCTGGGCAGGCCTACTCAGGTGGACACAGGACATTGTACCGGCGGTTTCAGGGGGTGGGATGTGTGGCCTCAGCCTTGGAGCTTTGGGCACAAGGCCCTGGAGACTCACCTCACCTCCTCACAGCCCCACCCTCATGGCCCAGACCCTGGTTTCTGCCTCTGCATCTCTGCTGGCTTTGACCTCAGCGCGCCCAAGCCTGCTGTGCACGGCACTGCCTTCCTCTGTCCAAACAGAGGAAACAGCAACTCTCAGGCTGGACCCTGCCTGCCCAAGCCTCCTCCTGATGGCCAGCTCCACCGCACCCTCACCTCAGGCTGCAGCCTCCTCTGGCAGCCACATGTCTGGGCTCACCTCCCACAGGAACGGCACCCCTTGGGGAGGAAGCTCGGCTGGCCAGCAGGGCCTTGGGCATATGCTGTCCTGCCTTGGCTGCTGCGTGGCCTCCAGGGACGATGGCACCCTGCCCCCCACGACCTCCCAAGAGGAGAACGAGCGGTGCCATTCTGGTCTTCAAATCTCTAGTCTGGGGTTCTGTGAGATTTCATGGACCGAGGCTGTCTTCTGCCGCTCTTCATACGTCCCTGCAAAAGGGCGCTGAGACGAGCGTCTGAAAACAGCACAGGAAGTTAAACACTAATACCCACGGCTGGCAACAAAGAGCAAATGTCAGAACAGCCTCGCCGCAGAGACGCGGCGTCTCCAGAGTCTCGTAGAAAATGGTAAAAAGATTAGCGGCTGAAAAGGCTGGGCAGGGGGATGAGCAATAGCAGAATGGGGTGGGGGGGCAGGCAGCACGAAGGGGGCTGCTTCAGTTATTGTGGTCAAGTGTGTGTGTGTCTGTATGTGTGGGGGGGGTCTCTTATTTGTACCCTCCCCTACCCCCTGCCAGGAGGTTGAAAAAATTCCTTTTGTGATCAGTCATTTTCAGGGAATTTCAAGATGCATGAAATTGGCTTTTCGTCCAAATGTTCCTTGCCGGCCTAGGAAATCTTCACTGGATTAAATGCGTGAGAATAAGCAAAGGCCGCAGAAGTGAGGCGTCCTTGGCCAGCACCCTGGGGGACGTGTCCTCATCTCAGGTCTCCTGCTCCCCTCCCCCAGGCTCGCCACTGCCCACCTGAGCAGACAGACCAGGCAACCACGCGGAGAAACGTGCGGGATGGATTTGAACCCTAAGATGTGGCCACTGCCTCAAAGCAGGAGAGTGTCCCTGAGTCCCTGTGTTCTGGCCCAGGGCAGAGCGCAGTGACCAGCCGAGG